TCAGGGGACTGGCAGCGTGTGTCCCCCTTGGCGCTGCTGTGGACTTTCTCTGTTGGACTTTCTCTGTTGTGACCATCCTGCGCACCAGCCTCTACCGGCCCCATGCCAGTAGCACCTTGCCTGAAATTGCCACCTGTCCCAGGGGAGCAGAATGACCTCTGGGTTCCACACACAGAGATAAAAGGCAGCAGAAAGCCCTGGCTGGTGCGGCTCTGTTGGTTGGGCATTGTCCTGTGCACCAAAAGGTCTCTGGTTCAATTCCCCATCAGTGCACATGCCTAGGTTGCAGGCTTAATCCCCACCAGTAGGGGGCGTGCAGGAGGCAGCCGATCAATGTCTCACCCTCACATCAATATTTCTCTCTCTCTCCCTCTCTCTAAAGATCAATAAAACACTTTTTTTTGCCCTGGCCAGTTTGGTTCAGCGGTTGGAGCATCGGCCTGTGGACCAGAGAGTCCTGGGTTCGGTTCCTGCTAGAGGCACATACCAAAAAAAAAATAAAAATTAAAACATTTTTTTTAAGAGGCAGCAAAATGGAGTTCTTTTAGGGGTGCTGGGGCTGCTCTGTACCCTGATAGAAGTGATTACATGGATCCATACTATATGTTTTACTATATGATAATTTAAAAACTAAAATTTTAAAAAGCAACAAAACAAGCAAAAAACACAAAACACCAGAGAGGCAAGCCATGAGTCCTACTAAAGAAGAAACCAGCAAGTTTATTGCCCTGGCCCTGTTACCTGCCCACCGGGTGGGCCAGATGCCTCCCCCTCACCTCCCCACTGCCCACAAGGATCAGCTGCAGTCTGACATCTGGTAGACCCTTCCAGCCTAACGTAAGGATCACCTCTCGGCAGATAAAATACAGGGCGCCCAGTTAAACTTGAATTTCAGGTAAACAACTAATAAGTGCTTAATATAAGTATGCCTCGAATATTGCAAACATTATTCATTTATCTGAAATTAGATTTAATGGGGCATTCTGTATTTTTATTTGCAAAATCTGACAACCCTGTTCTTAGAAAATCTTTAGGTCTTTTTTTGTTATATTGTAGCCAGTGGCTTCATATATGTGTGTGTGTGTGTGTGTGTGTGTGTGTATTATATATATATAAACCCTTGGTTACAATATCAATCTTTCTCAACTTTCCTGAAGCTACACACCTATGTTAAAACAGTATGTATATCTCTTTTTTTCCAATGCATTCAGTCGCCTCAATCCTGCCTAATACATTTGGCCAGCGTGACTTGCCCTGGATATTTAAATACAAATAATCAAAATGAACACTGGCACGTGCTAAGTGAAGCCTGTATATTTAATGTCATAAAACGAAAAGGAATTCCTCTCTCAGCCAATCCACATGTCCTCTCCCCAGTACAATCTTTCCCCACCCTTTTTGGGGATATTAAAAGAAAAACAAACTTTACGTATGCGCGCACCCACATATGTTCGTCTAGGTTTTACATTTCTTTCCTCCCACTTGAAGTCACACTGGATTGTGTTTGGCCCCTCACTCAGGGGCTGAGCTGAGAGGACTTTCCTTCTGTGGCCCCCCGAGCCCGAGCCAGTCTTGTTCTTAGTGTGGCCCCCAGGGCACAGAGCAGTGTTGACCTGGACCCCACGCCAGGCATGCTTGCAAAGAGATGCATGCATTGTTTAGGTGGCTGGTCGCATCTTCACGGCACGCCCCCGAATTTAATGATCTCATCTTGATAACTTCCTTGCTGCGTGGTCTCAGGCTTTGCAATTGAAGGCTTGACCGCAGTGACTTTTCTGGTGACTGGAGCCTGGCTTGCTCTGGGGAGGGTGTATAGAAAGCCCCAGCTCTCCACCTGGACGTTTTGCCTCCCAGGGGACACTTGGATACGTTTTGGGAAGCAGCCAGGGATGCTGCTACACACCCTATGGCTCCCACGCAGCCCCCGAAGAGCATGTCCAGCCGAAACCCATGTGCTGGGTGGAGAAGCCACTGTGTCTCCCATCGTCTGTCTGGTGACCGCCTCTGGGCCCAGCATATGATGTCACCTGTCTGGCCACGCAGGCTGGTCAGCGCGGGCTGGGCTGTAGAGCTCCCCGAGACCCTGTTCTTTCTGCCCCGCTGCCCACTTCCCAGCTAAGACTGTGGGTCCCTGGCCCGGGCTGTCCTGGGGCGCGCAGTGAGCCCGCCCGCCCTCAGCCACCTCGGGAAGTGTAGGGTTACTGTATCTGGGGCTGCATCGCGTTCGCAGGCGAGGCATTTTTATTTTGCCCTTAAAAGCCTTTCAGGGGGGAACGCAAATCCTAGGGGCTCAGCTTTAATGGTTCCTTTTACAGAACCGCTCCAATTATAGATGGGTGAACTCGGGGAAACCCCACTAAAGAATGCAGGAGAGCGAACGTTAAAGGGGTTAATTTAGGGGGAAATAGTGGCGGACGGGGAGTTTGGTCTTTGAAACACTAGTTGTTAAAAAACCAAAGTGAACCCCTGGTGCTGGCCTGGTCCGTGGGAGGCGGGTTTCCTGACTTCAGCCCGCCTGGGGGGCTCCAGGTGAAGTTAATTCCAGATGTGATGGGGCCAGGGCCCCAGGAGAAACAATTCCACTGGCCGCTGACCCCCGTCACCTCATGCGGGGGCGTGGAGTCTGTTGTGGTTACCTGGGGTCAGGGTTTGCTCTCTCGCTCTCAGACTGGGTGTCCTTGGGCCCGTACTCGGTCTGGAGGTGGGCTTCCTTTGTCCCGTCTGTTCTCTTCCTTGGAGCACTGTCATCGCCGGGCATGAGATGATGGACATATTGGCCAATGGCCTCATAGCTTCGGGAACCTGGAGACTGTGGGTCCTCCCATCGCGCTTGGCCCGTCGCAAAGCACAGGACACAGTGATGGCCCCATCCCCTCTCCCCTGGGTCCCCTCACTGCTCCCAGATCCATCCTCACTGGGCACCCCGGGCCGCCTCTGCCCCTGCCCTCATCTCTCAGTGGTGGAGATGGGCACCTGGCCTCGGCCCGCACATGGCGTGTCCAGCGACACGCTCTCCCCAGGTGAGCTGGTCCAGGCCCCACTTGGTCCCTGGCGTCGGCCCTGATCCAGGTCTGTCGAGCACTTGTGAGGTGCAGAGCGCTCTGCCCAGAGGGGCGTCCGCGCCGACGCTGAGCGGCGGAGGCAGGACCTGAACCCAGGGAGGCTGGCCCGGAGCTGGGTGGGCCTTGGTGCCAAGTGTGTGTCTCCCGCCGATCCAGAGCCGAAGCTAAGATGTCACTGCCACCTCCGCCCTCCCCTCGGGCTTGCTCCCCCCGCCCCAGCCCTGCCCTGTTTCCCACCTCAGCAGAGGGCCTCCCTTCTCCTGGCACTCGGCCGAGTGGGAGTCCTGTGACTTCCCAGGGCCTCGCCTATAGGTCCAGCCCCTCAGCCGTCCCCTCCGTTTCCCTCTCCAGGTGGAGCCAGAGTGGTTGTTTTCCAGGTGGGGACCTGGTGCTCGAGTGTGGGACCCGGGGTGGGGGGGGCCGGGTGAAAGGGGTGGGGCTTCCCGAAGGCTGCCTCCCTTCGCAGCTCCTGCGAGCCATGACTTCTAAACAAGACGGTAACGATACAGTAAAGTCTAAAGATGGATTTAGAAGTGAACTACTGCCCGGCCGGTGTGGCTCAGTGGTGAGCATCGACCCACGCGCCAAGAGGTCGCTGGTTCGATTCCCGGTCAGGGCACATGCCCAGGTTGTGGGCCCGATGCCCAGTGGGGGGCGTGCAGGAGGCGGCCCACCGATGTTCTCTCTCATCAATGTTTCTTTCTCCCTCTCCCTCTCCCTTCCTCTCTCTCTCAAATCGATAAAGGAAAAAAAGAAAGAACTTGAAAATCTGGCCATTCCTGGCCAACTCTGCTCCCACTGCCTAGGACCACCTCCCCTGGTCTCCGGCTCCTGTCCTTGACCCCACAGTGCCGTCTGCAGGGCTGGCCTCAGGTTGTCTTTTGCAAGCAGCTCAAATTGCCCACTCCTCGGCTCTTGAACACCTGTGGCTCCCACCTCTGCAGACCGTGTGAGTGTCCAGTGACAACACCGCGGCCGGGGGCTGAGGACAGCACAGCTCTGTTCTCTCGTCTGGAACCCAGAACCAAGGTGTCCCAGGGGCTGTGCTCCTTCCAGAGGCCCCAGGGAAGGGGCTGCCTGGCCTCTCCCAGCCCCTGGCAGCACCTGGCTGTCTCTAGTGTCGCTCGGCCATCTTTCCTGTGTGTGTCTGTCTGTCTCCACATGGCTCCTTCTAAGGACACTGGGCATTGGATTGGGGCCCTTACTAATCCAGGATGACCTTATCTTAATTGATTTCATCCACACAGATGCTATTTCCAAATACGGTCACCTCCTGAGGTTCTGGGGGATGTGAATTTGGGGGGTCAACCCAGTAAACAGTAAGGCAGAGTGCTTGCTGCCTTACCATCCCCCACCACTATCCCTCTGACCCACCTGCTCCCCTTCTCACCCAGTCTGCTCCAACCGGGCGGCCAGTCTCCTCGAACACGCCCACCTGGCTCCCACCTCCCAGCGTCTGCCTTTGCCTTGCTCTCTGCCCGGAATGCCCTCTTCCAAATATCCGCATGGCTCCCCTCCTCCCTGTTGGCCGTGCAGAGGGTGATAGATGTTAGGGGGGCTGCGGCAGCTGTTCCCACTTTCCCTGGCACCCAGCAGGACTGCCCCACCCTCTTGAAATTAGGTGGGTCCTGTGACCTGCTTTGCCCAAGGAAATGTGAGTGGCACTTCCTCCAGCCTGAGACCTTCTGCCGACCTCAGCCCGGGACACCTGCCGTCTGTGTCTCCTGCCCACCTTCCCGCCCGCGGGCCTGCCCAGGGCACAGGAGTTTCCTCTGCGTGGTTGCCCCACTGTGTTCTAAGCCCCTATACAGCCTGGCCTAGAGCCACTGCTGAATAAGGCAGGCCGGGCGGACGGGTAATTCGTGAGTCAACTGTGGGAACCCCGCTAACCGCCTCTCCTGTAACCGTCTTCTCTGCATTTGGCTGCTTCCAATCCAGGGCAGAGCATCAACCCCAAGTTGGCAGGCCTGATCGGGCGGCACGGGCCCCAGAACAAGCAGCCCTTCATGGTGGCCTTCTTTAAGGCCACCGAGGTCCACCTTCGAAGTACCCGCTCCACAGGGAACAGGCAGCGTGGCCAGAACCGCTCCAAGGCGCCCAAGAACCAGGAAGCCCTGCGGATGGCCAATGTCGCAGGTACGCCCGGGGTGGGGAGTCAAAGCAAGACCCCAGGGACCCACGGGGCCGGGGCAGAGTGCCTCGGAGTCCATCGCACCCCACAAACTCCCCTCCTCACAGCACTCACCCCCTCAGCCACGCCCAAGTCACCAGGTCACTGAGGTCCCAGGACCAGAACATGAGTGGACGGAACAGTGGCTGCAGACAAATGAAGGAGAACCAGAGAGCGCGTGGGAAGGTGCCACACTGACTTCCCAGGGAGGCTGCTGCCCGGGGAGCAGGGAGCACTTTGTTGCATCTTTAATTTTTTTAAAAAATTTTTTCTTTATTGATTTTAGAGAGAGAGAGATAGAAACATCGATGAGAGAGAACATCGACTGGCTTCCTCCTGCACGCCCCCCACTGGGGATCAAGCCCACAACCTGGGCATGTGCCCTGACCGAATCAAACCGGTGACCTCTTGGTGCAGGGTCGACACTCAACCACTGAGCCACACTGGCCAGGCTAATTTTATTTTATTTTTTTTTTAATTTTAATTTTTTTTTTTATCCTCATCCGAGGACATTTTCCCATTTTTTTGTTCAGGTAGAGTGGGAGGGAGAGAGAGGAACAGAGAGAGAGAGAGAGAGAGAAACATCGACGTGAAGGGACACATTGAGTGGCTGCCACCCGCATGACCGACCAGGGCCGGGGACAAACTGCAACCGAGGTACATGCCCTTAGCGGGAACCGAACCCGGGTCTCTCCGGACCGCAGGCCAACGCTCTAACCGCTGAGCCAAACCGGCCAGGGCCTAATTTTATTTTTTAAAGTGGAAAATATCTGAAACTCTGGGCAAATTTGAATACTTGTTAAGCATGGGTTTTCCCACCCGGGGTTCGTGTTCCTGTGCTCTGCCTTGGTCGTGAGGCAGGGACCAGCTCCGATGCCATCTCACAGCTGAAGGGGAAAGGGGGGACTTAGAATATGCAAAGCAGCCCTGGCCGGTTTGGCTCAGCGGTTAGAGCGTCCACCTGCGGTCCGGAGAGACCCGGGTTCAGTTCCCACTAAGGGCATGTACCTCGGTTGCAGTTTGTCCCTGGCCCTGGTTGGTCGTGCGGGTGGCAGCCACTTGATGTGTCCCTTTCACATCGTTGTTTCCCTCTCTCTCTCTTCCTCCCTCTCCCTCCCACTCTGTCTGTACAAAAAATGGAAAAATGTCCTCGGGTGAGGAAAAAAAAAAGAATATGCAAAGCAGCCCAGACCCCCAAATATACCTTGTCTTATCAACGGCTTCTTGCCTCACCTGGCAGATGTGGAACGTTCTGTTCATTTTCCTTTGCAAGGCAGAAGGGAAGTGTGGTTGGTGAAGTTTTGGGGTGAGGGCTTCCTGAGCCCCAGAGACCCCGGCTGGACCTCGGTGGGTGTGGGTGGCTCCAGAGTGTGCCCACCGGGTTTTGTAGGGATATTGTCTGCCAGGCACATCCATCATTTTCTCAAAGGGGTCTGTGATCCCCCACATTAGAAACCAACCGAACCCCAGAATTTGTGTTGGAAACCTTCTCCAGGCCGGGCTGCTAGGGGCTGGGGTTCAGCGGTGAAAACCAGCCATGGTCTTCCCTGGGGACTCTGGACAGCAGGAAGTGGCTGTCATTCACAACCACACTAATAACAGGCCTGAGGGTCGGGGGACGGTGACTAGGGACTCACCATGGGGTGGGGGGGTTCAGAGGACTTCCCAGCCGAGAGCCCTGGGCAGGCAGGTGCCCACAAGGCTGGGCTGGGTGGAGGCCGGGCTGGGTGGGGGCCGGGCTGGGTCGACTCCACTCCAGGGCTCCAGGCAGTGGGACCTACAGGTTTGGAGACACCTGGGGGGTGGGGATATGGTGGCTGGGACGAGGTGAGCAAATGGAAGTATCCGCTTGGGAGCCGCCTCTTGACTTGAATCTCTTCCAAAGCAAATTCAGAAGCTCTTCGTGGTTTAAGCTATGGCGTGGGCTGGGGATGATCAGACGATCCTCCGGCTGCTCTGAGAGTGTGGGGAGCAGGCAGGGAGGGTCAGCGGAGGGAGACCTGTGAGAGGCCTTTCCAGAGCAACCAAGCCGGGCGCTGGCACATCCCACCCCAGCAGACTCCATCTTGGCGTCCTGTGGAGCACCTCAGAGTCTTAGAAGTCCACGCTCCATTTCCCCCACACTTCGCCGCCAAGTCTCCATTTACATAACCCCCAGGACGGGGCTCTCACTACCGCACATGGCAGCTATTCTTTCTTGCCTGGAATCCGCTTCCTTCCTGTGGATTTCTACTTCCTGGCCCTGTTGGAAGTTCAGCTTAAACCCTGCCTGGAAGTTTGATAAGAAAAGAAATACCGAGGCCTGGGCCCCACCGCAGGCTTAGTAGCCAGAATCTGTGTGTGCGTGTGCGTGTGCGTGTGCGCATGCGTATGTGAGAGCATGTGCACCTGGGAAGAGCTTCACCTCACGTGCGGGCTGGGAGCCTACTTAGGGCCACACGAGTCACTCCCCGGAGGCAGCCCTGTGTGCGGTGGCAGGATCCAGCTGCGTGCTGCCCGCCCCCCGGGAACCCCCTTTCCTGCGGGCTACCCTTCCCCCAAGGATTCCACAGCTCCTCACATGCTGTGGTTTGGGAATGAGAGGCTGGGGTCGCTGCCTTCCTCCCGTGCCCTTCTCCCCCACCCACGTTTGGACCCCACTGCCTAGTAATTAGCCACTTGCAGCAGATGACCGGGGCTGGGAGCTGAGCCCCAGCACCGGTTGTAACTCGTTAGCTGCTCAGGCCGGGCTCCCTGGGGTGGAGGAGGCGGCCTGCCTCCTGCTCGCCTGCTGGCTGTTGGGGCAGGAGGGGCTGGGCGGCTGGGGTCTCCTTCTCCAGCATCCTTTTCTTCCCTTTCTGCACCAGCATCGCCAGCTGCTTGGTGCCCGCACCAGGGGAGGCAGGGACTGAAGCCGAGCGAGGGCTTGGTGAGAGGGAGGTGCCGTGATTGATTAGCAATGTCTGCAGGGGCGGAGGAAGGGCAGGCAGCCGCCTGGTCGCCCTCTTCCAACCCCTTAAAGCAAAGCAATGACATTTGGCTTCGTGTTGAAACCCAAGGCCGCGAGCAGCTCATGGAGCTGGCTGTGGACAGGCCGCTGCGGGTGTGCGTGTGCGTGTGTGTGTCAGGGAGACAGAGATCCCGTGTTTACAAAGGCTTAATCCCCAGCCCAAATGCCTGCAAACCTTAGACAGTCTGGAAAACCCCAGTGCGTCATCCTCACCCCCAGAGAACCCTCAGTGGGGCTTCCCTGGAAGGTCGGTGGGGTTTGCCTCGCTGCCCTCTTGTTTCTTCTTGGCGGTGGTGATGGGGGCTTTGTCCCAGGCCCTGTCTGCACCCTCTCCTGCCCCTCCCGCGGGGTGGGCATCGTGGGGCGGGCTGGCCTCCCACGGCGAGGTCGGCGAGCAGAGCCCTCGGGGCAGCCTCCTGTGGCCGCGGGAGATGTGGATGGGCTTTGATCCCCGAGCGGCATCCGGGCAGATGTCAGCCCGAACGTGCGTGGGTGTGGAGGAAAGCAGTGTGGGCAGACGGGTCGGAACCCGCGAGCTGGGCTGGCAGAGCGGGGAGACCGCCCGCGGGGGTGGGGGTAAGTCCGAGGGCTGCGGGTCCTGGACAGCGCGCGTCAGAGAAGCCGCGCCCCGCGGCGTGGGCTGAGGACACTGACGCGCGTCTCTCTCTGCCCCTCCCCCGCCGTCTCTGCCCCTCCCCCCCGGCGCCCCGCAGAGAACAGCAGCACGGACCAGAGGCAGGCCTGCAAGAAGCACGAGCTGTACGTCAGCTTCCGCGACCTGGGCTGGCAGGTAAGGGCCCCCGCTGCTCCGCCCAGGCTGCCGGCTGTGCCCCGTGTGCCAGCGAACCACGTCTCTCCTCGGCGTCCTTAGGACCCCGGGACTGAGTGTCCTGACCGGGGTACAGGAGGGTCAGGGTACAGGGTGCCTCATGAAACCCGAGAGCAAAGATGTGGCCGAGGCTCAAGCTAGAACCGGGAACCCAAACACGTTGGACTCGGAACCTCACCTGCACGGGAACCCCGCTTCCATCCTGTGCTGGCTGCGGCTCTCACGCATGCGCTAGAATCCAGCTGCCCCGAGAGCTCCAGGCCTCTGCCCTGTCTGCCCCTCCTTCCCCCTCCCGTGAGTCAACTCCCAGGGAAGGGACTGATTGGCCCAGCTCGGTCAGGCCCTGGTTCCTGAACCAATGAGCTGTCTTAGGGGTGGGATCATGTTACAGGAGCCATTCGGATGGAGTAGGGAGAAGGGCAGGGGATGAATCCTAGGAGAGGATCGAGGGTCACTCAGCCCGACAACGAGGAACCCCTGACATCCGGGCCCTCCTGCAGGCCCCGGAGGTTCAGCAGTGAGCTCTGCAACATGCCGGTCCTCACAGCTCAGCTGTCCTGGGCAGGGCGTGTCAGAAGAGCACTAGGTCAAATGGAAGCGTCTAGCTTCTTCCCTGGGGCTCAGGCCCCAGTGCACCCCCAGGGCACCTGTGCGCACAGGCAGCTTGGATCCCCCCCCCGTGCTCTCGGGAGCCAGGTCACGCGTGACTTCTGTGCCCCAGGGTCCTCTGCTGGGAGGTTGCATGGACTTGAGTCAGTGAGGGGTGTATTTATTGCTAGGGCAATTTTTCTGCACTGACCTGACCCTGAAGGGAGGGGGGCCGCGGGCACCCCATTCTGAGCAGCTCACGAGTACCAGGCTTTCTTCTCACCATGATGGGTTGTTAATCCCCCTCCCAGGCAGGTGAACTGCTCGTGAAGTTTTGTTTCTGCGATTAGCCAGTGTGTTACCACCTAGTAAAGTGGATGTCACCGTCCCATAAAGCCACACGTGTCCATTCTGGTCTCACCCCGGCCCCCACGGCGGCCTGTTCGTCTGGCGACCATGAGAGGCTGGCATCCACTTCTCCTGCTCTGCAAGGCCCACAGCTGCCCAGGAGGGTGCCTTCGGCCTTGGGAGCACGGAGTCTGGCCCACAGGAGGGGGGTTTTGACCTGGAGGGGGGGACCCTGTGGCTCACACTTTCCACGGGGCGCTCCCCTCTCCCCCCAGGACTGGATCATCGCGCCCGAGGGCTACGCCGCCTACTACTGCGAGGGGGAGTGTGCCTTCCCTCTGAACTCCTACATGAACGCCACCAACCACGCCATTGTGCAGACACTGGTGAGTGTGGCCGGCCGGCCCTGCCTCGGGCTCCTCCCGGCTGGGGCCAGAGTAGGTCTCTGCCCAGCGCCCCTTTCCCTATTTAAAAAAAAGCTTAAACATCATATTTTTCTACTCCGTTGACATGACGATGTAGTTGATCTTGGACCCTAAAGTTGATTTAGTTCTCCTCATTGTAAAAGACATTAGAACAGTTTCGTGGGCTCCTAAAGGTATTGTGGGCAGCAGCCACTGTGCCTGGTGGAGACGTGGCCATGGTCCTGGCCGTGGCCGTGGCCCTGCCTCTGTCGGGGCTGCTGTTCTGGGCTGTCAGCCTGTCCCCACCCCACAGGGTCAGGTCTTCCCCTGGGGCGGGGGTGGGGGAGGGGGGAGGGCTGTCCCTCCCACAGCTCCTGTCCCCACCTCCTGGCCATGACTTGGCGGTTCAGTCCTTGCAGGGCGTTTCCTGTGTCGGTTGAGGTCTGTTCTCTGTGGACCCTGCACAGACCAGGTCCGGCACAGGTCCCGCCCGCAGGGCCTCGTTTCCAGGGAAGGAAACAAATGAGGAGACTTCAGGGAGGGAGGAAGCCCAGGGAGATGATCCAGCGGGACACTAGGGTGACGAGCGACTGGGGAGCCGAGGGGCTGTTTCGGGTTGGCCTCCCACGGGGTCACTGGAGGAGTCGGTGTGAGTGTGAGGTTAACGGGGTGCCCAGCGCTGACGCCACAGGGTAGACGCTACTGTTGCTCCCTGACCAACAGCAACAGCGATGAGTCAGGGACTTGGTTCTTTAGCTTAGAATCTGGGCTTCGGGGACCTGGGTTGTCCAGCTGCTGCCATGAACATTGTCTGGGCCTTTCCTGACAGCTGGTCATCCTCCCTGGCTTGAATGCTCCTGAGGACAGACAGCTCACTACCAGGGCCATGCCTCCGCCCCCCAGTTCTGCTCGTGGTGGAGCTTTGTCCTTTCTGTGGTACTCGCCCCCTGCCCTCGTCCCGGCCCCACGTGCCCCGTCTTGGAGGAGCTCCTCTGTTCCTTTCGTTCAGACCAGGCTCTGTCCTCAGCGGGCAAAGCATCACTTTTCCAGGTCGAGATAATAATATTTTTGAAATACCTGGTTGACTTAGATATATTATTTGAATTCATTTCACCTGCTTCTTTCCCACCTTTTTAAGCGTGGCTGCGAGAACTTTCGAAATGACATGTGTGACTTGCGTTACATTTTTCTTGCACAGGACAGGTCTAAGCTTAGAGGTCAGCAACCTTCTTCTAAAAAGGGCCCGAGAGTAAATATTTTCGACTTTGAGAGTCCTAAGGTGCAGCTGCTCGGCTCTGCCCGCAGAGTGAGGAAGCAGCCTTCGAGGCTACACACACGAACAGCGGGGCTGGTGCCAATAAAACTTTATTCACACAACCAGGCGGCAGGGCAGGATTTGGCCTGCAGGCTGACCCCAGTCCAGCTCGGGCTCTCAACTTGGGGCAGTTTTTCCCCGCAGGGATATTTGAGATCTAGTGACACTTTGGGCTGTCATGATTGGGGGGTGGGTGCTTCTGACCTTAGTGCTCAGGGCTGCGGTCAAAACCCTACAGTGCACAGGACAGCCCTGCCGCAGAGGAAGGCCAGGCCTCACAGTCTGGTCTGGCCACTGACTCCCACCGTGTGCCGGGCAAGCACTGTGGGTGCCTGGTTCCCTCATCATGAGACAGGGATCATCGCAGCACCAGGTTAGTTCCAGGCGGTGTGCTTAGAACTGGGCATGCTCGGCGAAGTGTCTGAGGGCCGTTAGCCCGAGCAGCACCTGTCCCTTACGGTCATAAGGAGGCCAGAGAGAAGGGAGTGACCGCATCTCACTACTGCCTGTGTTCCAGGTCCACTTTATCAACCCGGAGACGGTACCCAAGCCCTGCTGCGCCCCGACTCAGCTCAATGCCATCTCCGTCCTCTACTTTGACGACAGCTCCAACGTCATCCTGAAGAAATACAGGAACATGGTTGTCCGGGCCTGTGGCTGCCACTAGCCCCTGCCGGAGGTCGGAGCCTCTGGCGCCACCTTCTTCTGGGTCCTGCGGCTCACCGCTCAGCTCCTCCGCCCGCCTGGCGAGGAGCCAGCACACCGACTGCCTTTTGGGAGACCCTCCCGCCCCCTCCCCAACTTGACCGGTGTAGGAGCTTTAAGGAATTTGAGAGGCAAATGGCTTTTGATCAGTTTTCTGTTGTCATCCTACGGACAAGATCCTACAAGCTGCTGCAGGCAAAACCTAACAGGAAGGAAAACATATAAGAGAAACGGCCATGATCATGGGCGGTGGAGTCTCAGCCACGCACAGCCCGGTTCCCAGGGTGCACCCTCGGCCAGGCCACCCGTCGGGGGAGGAGGGTGCGTGGCGAGGGGTGGGCACGTTAGTGTCTGTGCTGAGAAGGAGTGACACAAAGGTTCCTGTAATAAACGTCCCAATAAAACGAATGAATGAAAATGGTTAGGATGTTACAGATATATTTTCCTAAACAATTTATCCCCACTTCTTGGTTTACTCTGATTTCATAAACAGAAGCTGTGGCCGGCGGAGGGCGGGGAGGCCCCTTCTCCATTCCACTTGGGTTCCCTCTGAGGTTTCCCGAGACCCAGGGTTGACGGAACTGTGCCCAGATCCAAGACTTGGCTGGGAGGAGAAAGACACATTTCTGCTGGGAGGAAGGGGCGTGTTGACCTTGAAGGAGAAATGCGCTTCGTCACTCGGCTGGGCGTGTGATGGCAGAAATTCGAGGAGGCACTAAAGCCCCAGCAAATGTTTGCGAGTGCTTCTCCGGTTCCCCTCTGTGCTAGGACACCAGGCAGAGTGGGGACAACAGCGTTAGGACAGAACCTGCAAGTTGACCCTGAACTCTGACTGACGTGGCCCTGTTTAAAGAAGCACCGCGGAAACCTGGCTTTCGACAGGCTGCTGTCCGTGTCCCAAGTAGTCTTGTCCACTGTTCATTGATAGCGTGCTCTGAAGTCTGGGTTCAGACTGGGCCTCTGTGGGCCCCTTTTTTCCTTGGCAGACCCCTACTGAGGGCTCTGCAAACAGCCAGCTCCTAGAAGCTTAGTGGGAGTTCCGCTGGGTATAGGGTGTGCGGGGCACAGATCTCAAATGGAAGGACCTAGAAGCCTTTTGAGAGTGATGTCCTAATCAAGCGTCCTGATTTGAAGGTGCCATTTCTGACATGGCTCTTGGTGAGAGCCTTCCTTGCCTTGGCTGGTGGGTCCCCTAAATGGTGTGTACCCCACCTCCAGCTGCAGCACAGGACTCGGGGAGCACAAGGCTATCCATGAACAAAGACCAGGGTTATCCAGAAGGCCCCTGGGGTCCACTCTGGTGGGAGCTGTTTCTCCGTTGTGATTAAGTTGGTTGCTGGTTGCTTTGGGAAAATTTTGTTTTTTTCCTTTTATTTTTTCTTCTTCAGTAGCTTGGGCTGCAGCCTTCACTCTGCCTGTTCAACAGGGAAGAGTTGCTGTTTTTTTGTTACATTTTGTTTCATCTGTTGGCAGATCTGGGGGACTTTTGTGTTATTCCCTCTTGGTGCAAATTTTCTCACCAGTTACACCCAAACAGCCTCTGGTTAGCATCATGTGTACATTGCAACGTGTAAATAGTTGTTACAAAACAAAGACGTTATTTATGTCCACCGGAAGCTCTTTTCAGACCCTCTTCCCATCGCTCCTTTGGGATGTCGAGCTCGCTTCCCTCCACCCCGCTTGATTCTTATTTAAGACTATTTATTAACGGTCGGACCATTGTACGTTCAGCTGTTTCGTAGAGCGGCCCCTCAGCGACAATTCTGTACAAATAGACAAAATGAAAAGGGTTTTGACTTTGCAATAAAAGGAGACATTTGGTTCTGGTCCCTGGGCCTGCGTATGTCTGTGTGTGCCGTTTTCTCTCTCTCTCAGCTCCGGACACGGCCGTGCTCTTGGTCTGCAAAGAGGTCTCCACCTGGCCCCCTCTGTTCACTCACGCCGTTTGTCATCCGGGCCCTGGGGAGAAAGGGGCACTCGGCAGTGTTTGGTGCAGCTGTGTGGGGCTCCGGGCCGGAGAGAGGGAGCCCAGCAACGCGTGAGTTTGGTAGGCTCGGCTGCAAAGAGCCGTTACATGCAGTGCAGCTGTGAGCAGCTGTCCCGGAGAGGCAGGGGGTAAATTAGCTGTGTTTACTGCCAGCATAGTTGAAAGCTTTAGTCATCCCAATAAAATAGAGGCACAAGAAAGAAAGAAAAAAAAAAGGTGGGAGGGGAGTGTACACCCAAAAGTTTTAAGCAGCACAGCCCCAGAGCCGACATGGTCCAGGGCAGATGATTTCGCTGGCTGGGGGGCTGCTGCTGGTTCCGGGCCCCAGCCGTGGACGCCCCACCACAGCCTGGTGGAGCAGTCAGGGGCCTGGTGCCTAGCGGCCCAGAGCAGCCATGTGGCGTGGGACCGCCTCTTGGGTTCCTGTTCACTTTGAAGTGCACACTAAGGTCACCCGCTGGATGTCAGAACCCCGGCCATCCCTTGGCCAGGCTGTTCTCTCTTCCCTTGGTGCCTCAAACAAGCGGCCGCTTTTAACAAGTTCCAGCCCCTATGATTTCCAGACCCTCCTGTCATTGTCCTGATGCTCCGTTCAGCTTTTGTTCTGTTTCCAGGCTCGAGACCAGAGCCGCAAACCCGAGGGCCAGATGCGGTCTGCAGACGTGTCTTGCTCCCCCTGCGTGGTGTTTCTACATTACTTTTTTTTAAGTGAATTCATCGCCAACATGTTTTAGGAAATCAGAAGATTGGGGCGAGGAAAAAAATATCCCAAATTCTGGCTTCTCTTGAGAAATCGGCAGATCTGGCCAGGCTGGGCCTCGTTCCTGTGTGCAAGCTCTCGGCTGGAGGCAATGAGCAGTTGCTGCCACAGTCTCCACTACTCCCTAGTGCCTCTCTCACAAAGAGGCAAATGCCAGTCGCTGTGTCAGAGACGGCAGATAGCTATTTATTGGTCTCTATTAAGAGTAGGAAAGGAAAAGCCAGACAGAGAGCCGCACACTTCAGGAAGAAGAGAGGACGACACACCTTTTGTCCATCCCTGGCTCACTTTCTCCATTTTACACCGAATCCGTCTCCGCAGGCAGGTGTGTCTGTGGCTGCAGCCTCCCCTTGCAGCCTCCCTCTCCTCCTGGTGGCCTTGCTCATTTCCACCTTCTGTTGCCGCTTCTCCCAGACCTGCTCCTCAAGCACCTGCATCAGGGACCACTGCTCCCAGCGCGTGGCCTGAGCCACTGCCAGTGGTGCCGAGAGGTGCAAAGAGGTGAAGGGATCGACTCCAAGTCCCAGCTAGGAACTGCTAGATCCTGGACTTTGACATTTCAACCCAAAGCCTGCGCTTAAACAGAATAAACGTTCATTTTTCATTTGAAAGAAGTCTGAAGGGCAGTCATCCAAGATCAGGAAGGCAGCTTCACTGTGCCATTTGGAATCTAGGCCCTTCCCCTCTTTCTGTTCTGTTAGCCTAATTCATGGCTTCCATTCTCCCAGTTGGCCTCATGGTCCAACATGGCTGCTGGAGCTCTCGTCATCGTATCTATATTCCACCCTGAATGTGCCCTTTCAGCCGTCATCTCAAAGGCCAGACACAAAATATTCCCTCACTTCTCATTGGCAACGCTATAGTCATATGGCCACACCTAGATGCAGGGGAGACTGGGACCGATACTCTTTAGTCTGGGTGGCAATGTACCTAGTCAGAACTCAGCAGTCATGGCCCTATTGCTATGTGAATTTTGTGAATGCCAGAGGTCAGCAGTTAGCTATCTGTATTAGTTTTCTATAGCTGCATAACAATCCCCACCAACTGGGTGACTTAAATCATCAACCACTTACTATCTTACACCTTCCTTGGGTCAGGAGTTCGGGTCAGCGGTAGCTGGGTTCTCTGCTCATGATCTCACGAGGCTAAGGTCAAGGTGTCAGCAGCCGCACGGTGCACTGGAGCTCGGGTCCTCTCTCGTGCCCATTCAGGTGTTGGCCAAATTCCGTTCCTTGCCGATGTAGGACTGAGGTCCCCAATTTCCCGCTGGCTGTCAGCCCCCGGCCACTGCCAGCTTCTAGAGGGCCCTTCACCCCCTTTCCGTGTGGTCCTCCCCCACCACGACAGCTTCCTTCTTCAAAGCCGGCGGAGAATCTCCCACTTCTTTTGAGGTTCACCAGAGTAGGTCAGACCCACCCAGCATCATCTCTCTTTGACGAGCTCAGCGTCCACTGACGAGGGGCCTTAGTGACATCTGCGAAATCCTTTCACCTTTGGGAGTGGTCATTATCTACCGGGCGGAAGTCCTGGGGGTCATCTTCGAATTCTGCACAGTCGCTAAGCTGCATGGCACAGCCCAGGTTAGGGAAGGCGTTCGGGACAATACACACGTGCAAAGTGCCCGGCCTGGAACAGGCACACACATGGTGGTGACTGTGGCTGAAGACAGGGCCCTCCTGCTAGGAAGCTCCCCACCCCAGCAAATGGGGTGAACAATCGTCCCCCAAATCCTTGGTCAAGTCACTCATCACCCCAGCCATGCTTATACGCACCTGGGAAGGATGACGGTGTGACCAGTCTGATCTTTGCAAAATGTAGTACATGCTCCTGGGTGCTCCTGGGCCAGGACCCGCCCAGAGCACGTGCAGGGCCTGGCGCCTGAGCTCACTAACCCTCCGAAGGAGCCCCGGAGAGCCATCCTCGAACGTGCTTCCACGGCCGAAGGCGCAGGGAGGTGGGAGCGGGCCCTGCTCTCCTCCGGTGCTGTTCACCCAGACATCGGGGGAAACAGCGCCCTCCAGGGCTGGGCAATGCAGAGGCAGCCCTGCCCCGGCCCTACATCGGGGTATCTGGTGGAGAGCGGGACCCTGTGTCCCGGCCCCGCCCTGCACTCAGGAAGGGGTGCCCGTCCCTCCCGAGGACCCTCACGGTGACCTCTTGCAGACACCTTTCCCCTCGCTCGTGGGTTGATTCCTCGGGCTCAGACCCCTTCCGCACTCTGGCGCCAGCCTCTCTTGGTCTTAGATTTGAGGAAATAAAAACAGAAGAGGGGACACAGACCTGTCCTGAGCTTTCGGAGTTGCCACAGCTGTTTGGGCCAAGGCAGCGAGCACCTGAGCTGGGAGCACAGCTTCCTCCTCGACTCCCGGTCCTGCCGCCGCCTCCGTCTCGGACAGTCTGGTGCAGGCAGAGCAGGGGGCCCCCGCGGGCAGGTCTCAAGCCCCCCACTCCCCAGACGCCAGGCCCGGAGCGGACCTGTTCCAAGTGGGTGGGTCCCGTCACGGCTCCAACCAGGGCGGCAGGACAGAAAACGAGCCCCCGGCCAGGGCCAGCTTCACTGGCGGCCAGAGCAGACGCATCGAGCGCGGGGCTCCGGGGCTCCGGGGGCTCCAGGGCTCCGGGGGCCCTGAGTTTAGCTGAGCACATACTGCTGCCAGCCTGGGGTTCCACC